GTGCTTTTGTTTGATCGTGAAATCTGTGAACGATAATTTTTTTAAGGTGCAAAGTGTCTATAAATATGCTTTGGGGTATATTATGCGACAGCTATAAAATTTTATGAGGATTTTCTACATTTAACCCTTTTAAATATTATGTCTAAGTAAGACTTGCTTCTTCCAGTAAATTATCATATTGAAGAAAGGATTTTTCCGTAATAAGTCAGCATGATCTAGACTAGGGTGGCACCATTTTCCCCCAAATAAGTCAGCATGATCTAGACTAGTATGGCATCATCCCAATTAGTATGTGTTAGGGAGAACAACGTCAAGAAAGCTTATCAAAGTGTTCAATATGTAAATCAAAAATCTAATTCTAATCTAAAAATTTAAGTTATTAGGTTTCAGTCTCTTACTTATATATTAATCGTTCTTTTTTCATCTTTCGAACCAATGTAGGATGTCCTTATATTATATAAGAATGAGTTTGGATTAAAGAATAGCTTTGAATTTCAACCGCAAGAGTAGGGGTATTTTGGGATTGTGACGTGGTTTTAAGTGTAGTTATAGTATTGGGTACTACTTTAGATAGCGTGTGTATTATTGTGTTTACTGAAATGTCCTTATATTCTAAAAGATGCAGTGATGATTTGTTCAAAGGTTTGGGTAATTTGGGAATGTGAGATTATTTGGTCATCTTTTCTACAATAGGTACAACCCATAATAGCTTCTTTATTGGTGTAATTACTTAAATGTCCTTGCAGAGACATTCATTTTGGTTTGAATCAATTATCACTATTACTTTGCTATTATAACTTGAAGAACTTCAAACGTCATTTTCATCTCAATTAAAGCAAGGACAATGTGGTTTATTAAGGAATTTATGATTGAGCATTAGTTTCAACTTCAATTCTTCAAATGTCTGCCCCTTCACATTCTTCCATTATGTTCCTTTCATCTTCCGGTAAATACTTATTTGTATTGCTATTGTACTCTAGATTTCAATATGGTTCTCTAGTGAAGTTATTTTTGGTGGTTCAACTTGAGGTGAGGTTTCATTCTTTTTTTCAAAGGTATGATTTGCTTTGGAAAACCGTAATTTCTATTGTTAGCTAAATGCTTTCATTCCAAAATTGGATACTCCGTTAGCGCAATTTAATGTTGATATTATTGTTTCCCCACAAAGTTGGTTGTTCTATACAATTTAAATGGTGTGATTTTGTTGGAATAGGTTTCGATCAACAAGAATGTTGGCTACTTCGATCAAAAAGAATGTTGGCTACTTTGATCAAAAAGCCTCCGCCATAGTTAGCTACTTTCATCAACAAGAATGTTGTGTAGATGCATCTTTAAGTGGATAATCACTTTGTTTATTTGACATTCTCTGAATCGTTTGGGTATCTGTTTAAAGTTTATTTAGTCTTATTAATGAAAAACTCATATACAAGTGTTTGTTTCAAAATATATGAACTGAGCAAGATAGCATGCATAATTTCCTTCTCCATCTCCCAGTATACATTAGATATTTTGTTACTTCATTTTATTACTCAATGTGTGTGAGTTTTTTGATATTCGTTTGAACTACCGTAAAATCTTCTTTAACCATAAGCACCAAACACCCGTGCGATGCGCGAGCATTCCCCTCCTAGTAATTCTTATAAATCTCTCTTTCATGAGTAACCCCTCATATTAAATCCAAATTTATAAACTCTTCTCTAAACCTACTTTAATACTTAATGCAATCTCATCTTAATACCTAAGGTCATCTCTTCTCACAATTATGGACTCACTATTTTTCAACATTTAATTCTTCATGAGTAAAACCTCCTATTAAATCCAAATTTACAATTCTTCATGAGTAACCCTTCACATTCAATCTAAATTTACAAATTCTTTTTCAACTCACTTTAATACTCAATACAAATCCACTTGGGAGAACTGCACAAATAGTCCCTCACATATTGCAAATGTGAAAATTTAGTCCCTCAGATCGAAAATGATCAATTTCAGTCCTTATCAAATAAAAAAGGATTAATTTGAGTCCCTTTTCACTTTTCCGACTGATTTTTGCCCGGAATATCTCACGCGCACACCACATGGCCAACTTTTCAAGGGTAAAAATGCCAAACCACTTATCTGTTGACCAAAACCAAAATGTAAAGGACGAATACTTCCCAAAAAAAATCTCCATTTTGGTACTAACTCACCGTTCCATCTCCGATTCCTCTCAACCAAACAAAAAAACTTAATTATCACTACCCACTACCCAGCAGCGGACTGATGTTGATGAAAAGGAGCGTTAGTGACTAAAGCGAAGAAGAAACAAGCATACCAGAGTGATGGACGAAGAAGACATTCAACGGATCCCAAATTACAGTATGTTTTTCTAAACCCTAAACTATAAAATTTATGGAATGATGTCAGATACTATGTGAATAGTTTAAATACAATTGCAATAAGCATGATTTGTGCAGTTAAGAAGCATTATTATATTGATTAGGGTTGCTGGTGGTCAATTTTATGTATTAAATTGTTGTAAGTACATGTGGTCCCTTGTATTGTGTTGTGTTGTCGCTTTACATAGATGGGCTGTCGGTCCCAAAAAATTTTTTTGTTGTTAACTGTCTCCTAAATGGTTGGCAGATGGTATGAATCGATTTTCCATTAGGGTCCACTATGGAGGTGAATTCACTGAGTTGCCGAACAAAGAATACCGCGGGGGTAGTGTAAAAATTGTTGACTGTTGCAATCCTGACAGATGGTCTATATGTACACTTGATAGGGTTGCAGAAAAACTGGGTTATCCTGAGTTTACTGTAATATGCTATTACTTAATACCCGGGAAGAACATGGAGGATGGGTTAGTGTATGTGTTATGTGAAGATGTTGCTCAGGATTTGGCTAGAGACGGAGTGAAATATGGTCTGGTTGATGTATACTTTGTGCACTTAAAAACCTACTCCATAAGTGAATGTGAAGCTGGACCATGTAAACCAAAAGAGGGGACTGATCCTAAGGAAAATCAACAGGGTAGTAAGGTGCATGAAGAACCTTCTGATGTAGAAGAAATAATGATGACTAATATTTCTATAACTCAATCCGAAAATGAGGGTGAAAAGGATAGCATAGGTGCTGGTGAGTCAGGAGCTAATAAACACATAGAGGAAGTAGCCATAGGAGAGAACTTAGGTGAAATGCTTTCAGAAGTTGACATTAGAGTTGCTGATAAAGGAGATAATGCAGCAAATATAGGAGGGCCTGATCAGAATTTTAGAAAAGAACAAGATTGGACAAACTCAGAAGTACAGAATACAGGAAAAAATGCACCTTCTACTAACAAATCACCAAAGGAGAAATCATTACAGAAAAAATTCTCAACAAATAAAGAGCAGGCTGAAAAAGTTGAGAGAAAGAAGAAGAGTAAGAAGGAGACACATGCTGAGGAAGATGAGGAATCTGTTGATGGTGACAAGTTCATTGATAGTGACTATGAGTTCAGTGATGAAGAAGACATAGTAAAATCTGTTAAAGAAAGAAAAGCTGAATGGGAGAAAATTGTCAAAAATTGCAAATCAAATAAGAGTACAAAGGAGAGAACATGTCAAGTGGAGAATGCTGAGATGGAAGAAGATGCTACTGACTCAGATGAATTTGATAGTTGGTGTGACTCAGAAGAAAAAGAAGATCAGCCAAGAAAGAGAGCTAAGTTTCCAAAATTTAACCCTGAAACTGATATGATTGATCCCAAATTTGAGGTTGGGCAGATTTTTACTTGTAAGCAGTTGTTCATGAAGGCATGCAAGAGCCATGGAGTGGTTCACGGAAGGAAGATAAAATTCAGTAAAAATGATGGCAGAAGAGCTACGGCTTATTGCAAGGACTGTAGCTGGAAAGTTTCTACAGCTGTTATGCTAGACAAAAAGACTTTTCAAATCAAGAGCATGCAAGGTAAACACAGTTGTGGGAGGACATTTGACCACGGACTAGCAAATTCAACTTTTTTGGTTGATAGATACAAAAAGGAGCTGACTGCCATGGCCGACATGAAGGTGACTACGCTCACAGATAAAGTGAAGACTGATGTTAATGTCAACATCTCTAGGTGGCAAGCTTATAGAACTAAGAAAAAGGCAGAGAGTTTAGTTAATGGTGAACATGAAGCCCAATACAACAAACTAAGAAACTATTGTAGGGAAGTAAAGAGGGCTAATCCTGGCTCAAATGTTTTCATGACCACTGTTGAAAATGATGAGGGAGAAGATAGGTTTGAGAGGTTGTATATTTGTCTCAATGCATGCAAGACAGGCTTTTTAAGTGGTTGTAGGCCTGTTGTCGGGTTAGATGGCTGCCATCTTAGAGGGCCCCACAAGGGTGTGTTGCTTACAGCTGTAGGAATTGACCCCAATGATCAGTTGTACCCCATTGCCTATGCTGTGGTGGAAATAGAAAACAAGCTGACTTGGAAATGGTTCGTAGGTGAATTGCTGAATGACCTCCAAATCAGAGATGAAAATCATTGGACAATTATTACTGATAAACAAAAGGTATGTTAGTGTATTTTTCTGGGGTTTTTTTAAACTGAGTTTGCTAGTTTTAATTTGATGATCTGGTTTCACCTTTTTATTTGTTGAAGAGACTGATTCAAGCTATTCAAGATTTGCTTCCAGATGTGGAGCATAGGATGTGTGTGAGACACAAGTACAATAACTTTAAAAAGCTGCATGGTGGTTTGGCATTAAAGGAGAGAATTTGGGCACTTGCAAGTGCTCCTTACAAAAATCTGTTCAAGGCTTTGATGGAAGCTTTGAAAGCAGTTGATGAGGGTGCATTTCAATGGTTGGTTGACAACACAACACCACAGCAATGGTCCAGAGCTTACTTTAGAACCTCCCCTAAATGTGACAATTGACATTTTATTGAATAATCTTTGTGAGAGTTTCAACTCCAGCATTTTAGAAGCAAGGGAGAGGCCTATACTAGGTATGTTGGAAACAATATGACTTTATTTAATGGTTAGAATGGAGAATAAGAGGGAGTGGATGAAGAAATATACAGGAAAGGTATGTCCCAAAATTTTAAAAAAGTTGAAAAAGGTAAAAACTGCTTCTAATGCATGTATAGCTACACATTCAGGGGACTGGAATTATGAGGTGAGATGTATGTATGGGGATAGGTACACTGTGAATTTGGCTAGCAGAACTTGTAGTTGTAGAAGGTGGGAACTAAATGGCATTCCTTGTGCTCATGCAATAAGTGCTATTGCTTTGACAAAGGAGTCTCCCGAGAACTTTGTTCATGAATGCTACTCAAAAGAGGCCTATATGAAGGCATATGGGCCTATAATATATCCTCTCAATGGTGAGCATTTGTGGAAGGATTTGAAACAGGGGCCTATCCTACCACCTGAAACCATCAAGCTTCCTGACCGGCCAAAGAAGGTAAGAAGAAGAGAGCCAGATGAGCCACCAGCTACAACAACTTCTCGAGGACAAACAAAGAGACTGTCTAGAGTTGGTCTAATGGATTATAAGTGCAGAAAGTGTAAACAGAAGGGCCACAATAGTAGGAAGTGTCCAAGCAGTCATGATCAAGAGAATGTCCAGCAACAAGCTACTGCGATTACAAGTAGCTCTCAATCACAACAGCAGACTCCCAACACTATGAATCCTGGTGCAAACAAGCAGTCCCAACCTCAGCAGTCCAATTTCACACCTGAAGCAGTTTTTGGTGCAAGTGGCTTGGAGACTGATACAAATGACCAAGTCTTGTTTGATCTCATCAGTCAAATCCCAGATCAACCTACAACCAGCCAACCACCTACTTCAACATTGACAACAAAGAATGCAACATCTCCAGTTCATGTTTCTCTACTTGTTCATACTAATAATAGCATGTTGACTTCTTTCTATACTATTATTTATTTACTTGAATTTCTGGTTGCCAATTGTTAGGGTAAGAAAGTCAAGTACAGATGTGGTGTATGTCGGAGATTTGGACACACTCGAAGTAGTTGTGATTCAACATTGGCCTCTCTCTATAAGAGACACCCATGGGAACCACCTGGATTGGCTGTAAGTATTGTCTACTACATGCATAGTCTAAAGAGACTGCAAAGATATCTACTTTTAAGACTGCAAAAATTGCTATTGACTGTAAGTAATGGCCTCTTCATTGTTTTGTTTGTATCAGAGGCCCAAGAATACTGCAAATATATCTACTTCTAAAAGTGCTGCAAAGAGGGCTAAAAAGGCCTAGATGACTGGCCTGTTATTGCAAAGAGGGATGACTGCAAAGATATCTACAAAAGAGTGCTGCAAATGGTGGATATAATAAAGAATCCACAAAAGAGTGCTGCAAATGGATTATTTTTCGCCTTTTTGTCTTGTATTTGACTTCAGCAGACCTTTTTTTGGAGCAATGGAATTGATTTCTTAGTTCATTGCATTTTTTTTTTATAACAGGCGTATTGTAATGAATGTACTTGGCTCGGTTATGTACTGTTTTTTTTCATTGCAATGGAATGCATGCTCTTCTTATTTTTGAAAGGACTGATTATTGGTTAGTTGAACCCTCAGCAGATGACATTGGCAGGACTGAAGAATGAATATACAATTATGTTGTCTCCAATTTTGTTTACTGACACAAATATTGAGTAGTTAGTTAATGTTGTTGAAACCTTGCCAAGTTCTGATATGGCTTAACCCTTAAAAAGTTTTTGGCAGGGCAGGTTTTAATGTTGTTGGTCTCATATTTGGCTGACTAGACATGGTGGACTGCAATATGAAATCTTGTGTTAATGCCTTCTTCCCCTTTCGACTTTCTTCCCTCTCCTGCTGCTGCTGCTTCGGTATAGCAGCAGTTTTGACAAATTCTTTTACTTACCAACTCTGCATTAAGACTTAACATGCGGCCATGTTGGCTCACTCTAGTGGTTTGCTTGTCCTCCTCTCTTTCCAATATTTAATAGCCACCCTAAAACAGTTTTTTTTTAAAAATATATATTTTAGGCTTTAGAATGTATTTGATATGCACGAGTGTGTTTTTTTAACCTGTAGTTGGAAATGTTTTTTGTAACCTATACTATACCATTATTCCCTCTCAGCAGGTGAGGTTTAACTTATGGGACTTGATCAAGAAAATTTTTCCCTAACATGAGGGTCTTCGCTTATAATATCGCCATTATCATCTGCATTATCTTTTAAGTTAGACTTTTATTCCATCTTATGCTGTAAGCTCATATTCAAGAAAAAATCACAATATACCAGAAAGAACTTAAGCTTCATAATTGCATTCCAACTCCCATTTGTACAATCAACAGGGCCACTAAACGTAACACAACCTAAGTACAACAAATAAAAGCCACCCAGTTCCCAGTTCACCGCCTGCACCAACAAATGCCAGTTACAACTCAATCTTTGCTCAATAAATTCTGCACTATGAATACAACAAAGGCCGCAAACAGCAACAATTTCATCATTTTCTCCTTGCGTCTTGTTTCTTCCATCTTTGCCTCCAACTCTCTTAATCTCTTCGCCAATCTTCTTGTGTGTCTCACTAATTTATCGCACCTCTCGCAACTGTTTGTATCATACCACTTGAAATAGCCACAGCCGCCGCCACCATTATGCTGTTCAAAATTACCTCTTCAAATTTCACATTTTCTAAAAGAAAAAAGAAACAGAAATCAGGCACACTTACTTCGTAGTAAGCGCAACCATAGAACCTCTTTCCTGGATTTTCAGTTGTCCATGACGTCTTCACCCTAGCTGGTACACCGCAATTACAAGTTGGTGGTTCTGCCATGGAGATGAGGCTCAGCTTTTGGGTTTGGTTGAAATGAAGAAGAAGAAGAATTTCGGGAAGTATTCGTCCTTTACATTTTGGTTTTGGTCAACAGATAAGTGGTTTGGCATTTTTACCCTTGAAAAGTTGGCCACGTGGTGTGCGCGTGAGATATTCCGGGCAAAAATCAGTCGGAAAAATGAAAAGGGACTCAAATTGATCATTTTTTATTTGATAAGGACTAAAATTGATCATTTTTGATCTGAGGGACTAAATTTTCACATTTGCAATATGTGAGGGACTATTTGTGCAGTTCTCCCAATCCACTTTAACACCTAAAGTCATCTCTTCTCTCAATCACAGACCCACTTTTTTTCAGCATCCAAACCTTCACGAGTAACCTCTTCTATTAAACCTAAGTTTACAACCCTTTGTGAGTAACCTCTCACAGCATCCAACTTGAGATGATCTTCTCTTAATCATGGATCCACTATTTTTCAACATCCAAATTGGATTTTGACCCCTACCAACCCTTGGCTCTGCCACTTTAATACTCCATGCAAACTCACCTTAACACTTAAAGTCATCTATTCTTCCAATTATGGATCCATTTTTCTTTAACGTCCAAGCTAAATTCTAGACCCCTGCCAACTCTTGACTCTTTGGTCTAAAAGTACTGAACCTCTTGTCAAACTCATGGTGCACTTGATTCAATAGGAACCAAATTTCTTAACACTTCTGTTCACCACCAAGAAAAAATATTCATCGGCTCAATTGTGAGAAAAATTCATTTGCCCATCAGTAATTTAGTCTCGGAACTAAACTCCTTAACACTTCAATCCACTACCAAAAAGAGAATTTTCACCGGAAGAATCCACTTGCCCATGCAACTCAATTTCGTAACCAAATTCCTTAACACTTTGATCTACCATCAAGAAAAGAATTTTTACAAGAAGAATCCATTTGCTCATGAGTAACCCAGTTTCGCACCACCAAAAAGAGAATTTTCACCAAAAAAATCCACTTGCCTATGAATAACCTAATCTTACAATTAGAAACTTTGATACCACTTGTTAGAGAGAAACATTTCGAGAGAGTCCATCAAAGAGTCCAAATTCACTTGCCCATGAGTAATTTAATCTTGCAACTAGAAGCTCTAATACCATTTGTTAGGGAAAAACACCTCTATAGACCCGATCAAAGAGTCCAATATATAAGTCAAGAATTCAACTCTGACTCAAAAGTTTAAACTATTAAATTTTGAGTTCTTACTTACATATTAACCGCTCTTTCTTTACATCTCGAACTAATGTGGGACATAATTCTTTACTCACGAAACTAACGGAATGTTTGGATAATAAAATTATTGCAAACACAATTTTCAAACAACTTTTTATTATTTCAATTAATTTTTTATCTCACATACATTGTATTCCAAAAATATATACTATAATACTTATTTTAAATAATATTTCAAATAATCTCATGTCCAAATATTTCTTTATCAAGACATTGATCTCATCATTTACCCCATCTCTCTCAACAAAAACAACAACAACTACGACTATTTGATTCCCCTCGTCCTAAAGTTGCATCGATTGATGGTTCTCACTTCTCACTGATTAAATAGGAAACTGGAGAACTGCTGTTTTATTCTGTTTCTTGCTATGCTAGTGATTATTTGGACGCATGCACTTTTGCCAGGAATCTTAGACAGGAAACTTGCATGTCAGGAAAAAAATTCTGCTTCTGTCAACGTAAATGTAATTCTGATAAATAGAAAAGTAATATTATGTGAAGCATTGGAGTATCATCTTGACTTACACCGTCCATTATGTCTCATTTTAGATAACATACATTTAGTTAGATATATAAAGCTCTATAACTGTGGCACTCGGAATAATTTCTGGTCTCTCAAGTGTGTTTTTGGTATTTCTCACACACAATTTTAGATTGTTCTCCCTTTTCGACTATCATCAGCTCTTTTGCCTATATTGCCATTTGCGGCTTCTAATAAGTATTTCAAGTCAAATATAACCTAAATTTGCCTCTGCATGCCACTGCATATCCAATTCTCCACGCAGCGGTACGTCGAGCTAATGAATCCTCTACTTGTTGGCTTGAGTCTTGACATGCAAACAGATATATAATTAATAAGGCAAACCATATCATAACATTGATAAACCAATGGATGAGAGAGTTCAGTTTTCAGTAGGCGTGAACAGGAATGCCATTAACCAACGATCTGATCGCGATATTGAGGTCCACTTTCACATACCAAAACTGTCAATCTCACTTTTTTCATTTTTTTTTTTGGGAGCTAAGCTTTTGCTGCGAAGAAAGTATTATAGATGTGGATGTTTAAAGGGTGAACGGAGAGATGCAGAACCTAAGGGACCAAATCCGCTTCAAGGGCAAGATAAAAGGGAAAAAAGTTGCTGGCTTTTCACGCTTTGGGACAAAAAGAATTCTTGGACATAATCTTGATGAATTACATACATCAAAAACCGAATTTCTCAAATAACAGATTAGAATATGGTACAATAGGATGCACAAAGTATTAGTGCACTATACATAAGTATAGCAAGAACGAGATGAAGCTTTTTTCTTTTTTTTTTTTCTAGAATTAAGAATTTTCAATCTTTTACAAGCAGATTAGCTGTAACTAGCCTTTCCCTCTAACTATCGTAACCATCTGTAGTTTATGACGCCAAATTTGGAAAACATATAACCTAATTTTGCCTGTGTAACAGAAATGCTTCTGCTACTTCGCACAAAAAATTTGGAGCACTCACCAATAAAAAATGTCCTTACGTACGTTTATCATCAAGAATGGAATCCTGCTTCTAATTCAGAGGTTCTCCATTGCTATACATAGAGAGGAAATGTTAGCAAAACCCCATTCCATCATAAAGCTAAGGTACAAAGACTGAAACACGAGTGCAGAAAACATTATTTAGATTTAACCTGATCATAATCCATGTATTGAAAGCCAATCCGATGGAATTTTGTCGTAGCATCAACTACCAGGAAAAGGAAGAGTCCTCTCTAACATATAAATCCGTTCAAAAGTCAAAAGCTACCCACCTCACACAATTAAGAACATCTACCATGAATGCACAAAACACTACTACCTACCTCTGCCGACTAGGTGATGGAAGAAATATCT